CAAGACTAATGGAATGTTTTAACTTCTATCGTCTTATTTGGGTCTATTTGTGTATATGGACAGAGCTACTTGAAAATCAATTTTCAAGAAAACGTGCATTTTGATACGATTAACCGGTTAATCGTCGGAACGTCTTGCAGTTAACCGATTAGCAATTCTGTAATCGATTGCCATCCCTAATATATATATATATATATATATATATATATATATATATATATATATATATATATATATATATATATATATATATATATATATATATATATATATATATATATATATATATATATATGCACATTTACTCTTAATATCACTTAGATTGTTTGGGTATATTGTAATATATGTATTGTTTTCTTTAGACAGGTCAATTATGTATACTATATGTAATTATGTTAATCTGATGTATCTGTTGATTCAAAGAATAAAAGAACTGAACTGAGGCTGTCCTGTGTTTCTTTCCCTTTAATGATTTTAATTAACAGATCGTTGAGTATTTGAACTGGTTTTAATGTGTACCTTACCTTTTCTATCCTTTGCAGTTACCTATCAACTTGTTTCATTAAACAGACATTGCAAAGTAAGCGATAATTCAGACTTACAATGTATGTAGTTTTTAGTATTGTGATATTGCAGAATGCGCTTGCGTGACATCTTTTCTGTTTTCTGATTCTGACTCGGAAGGAAACGAAACGGAACGAAACCAGTTGTGGGGGTACCTTCTGGGGGAAATAAAAATGAATGTAAAACTAAAAAAAGAAAAATAAATAATATTATTTAATTAACATACATTACGCCACAGTGTGAAGTAGCGAGCTGTAAAATAAAATGCCTGTAACCTAGTTTATGCATTAATTTTTGCTAACATCTGTAGTTACTATATAAACAGTATTGAATGATTGATATTCATCTATTAACGATGCATTCCTATCCAAATTTAACGTCAAGGACTTCGGTACATCGTTTATTTTGTTACTTACACGCCTGTATAGTATAGAGAGTTGTCGCATTTTGCCAGCATGACAAGATTCTCTGGTTCCGTTCAGCTCCGCTAAATACCAATAACTGTGTGGATATTAGTATTTAGCGGAACGGAACGAAACACAGCAAAATTAAATACTTGTAATGTTACTCATACAAGCACTCTGTTATTATTCAATTAAATTATAAAAAAGAAAACCCTGTATATTAAATTTTGAAAAGCAGTATGAAAAAGACAAGGAGAATTAGAATCAATATGCTTGATTTTTAATTAGATTTTTGACTTCTCAGAAAGACTAAAATCGCAGATGTATGCACATCATTATCACTTTAAAATCTGTTATATATATTTATATATTGCGGACCTTGATGCTGATAATAAAACTCAAATACCATTTCTCAATCAATTAAAACATTTATAGACTAGTTTCAATTGTATTGTGTAACGTTATATGTGTAATGTGTTATGGGCCGACAGAAATGTTGGCTAATTCAACATTTATTGATATATTTAAAGGTTCACATTCACACTCTTTATATTTTCAAAAGAAGAAAACATAAAGAAGTCCACAACTGGTTTTGTTGCGTTCCGTGAAATACCAATTTCCACTACAATATTGGTACTTTGCGAAACGGAAAGGAACCACATTGTTAAGGGTTTAAAACTGTGTCGATAAACGGCGAGAGATATACTTTTGTGTCCTATATGCAAGAGTTTTATTTTAAAATCATATCTGCAGGAAAATAAATTTCTTCAGTAACTTGCATATATAAAGAGAATATATTTTTTTTTTTTAAATCCAATAAATGATTAATAATTAATTTATTTTACTCAAACATTTAGTTTTAAAGTAATATTATTTACGAAAAAAGAAAATAAAATTAACGATAGCCATATCTTGTTCCGTTCCGTTTCACAAACTACAAATACCCACACGGGTATTGGTATTTTGCGAAACGAAACGAAACCATAGGTTTCCTTTTGAAGAGAAAGATAAAATACCAAGAAATAACAACGGCAAACTTACAAATTCTGTCAATGTGTGGTTTAAGATTGTTAAATTGTGAAAAAAGTGAAAAATATTGATATAAGTGATGTTAAAAACGCATATTCCGTTTCCTCAACTGTTACGTAACACATTTTTTATGCCATATATTTTGGTATTATGTAAATGTTATTATGTGCATAATATATTGGATGAATGAAGTAGTGTTACAACAACCTTTAGGACAGTAAAATAAAATGCTTAAAAGTTCTAGCTTTTATACATTATTTTGTCTTGTGGGTTTTTCATCTGGTGTGACATCTGTTGTTATAATGGGAGATGTATTGAATGATTGGTATGTATTAATTATTATTGTAAAGTGAATTTATTCAAATGCTCGAGTACGGTGCTAAAGAAATATCGTTTATTTTATTTCAGTCAAGAGAGTTGGTTTTTGCCAACATTCGCCATCCTTTGGTTCCATTCCGTTCCGCTAAATACCAATATCCGTGTGGATATTAGTATTTAGCAAAACGGAATGGAACTAAGTTACCTATGAATCATATAAATGTATGAGTATTGTATGAGTTTCAGTCTGTTATTCTTTATCGGTAAATCTTGCTATAATTATTTTTAGATGAATTATATATATATATATATATATATATATATATATATATATATATATATATATATATATATATATATATATATATATATATTAACAAAACTTTAATCTGAGAAAAAGCTCTTGCATTCAAATAATTAAAAGTGACATCGTTAATGTGCAAAAGTATGCCAAATGTCAACATTGTAAGTACTCAATATTTTTGTTGCGTTTTATTGTTTTTAGTCATATACACATGAATAAAATTTCTTGGTAAAAGCTTTGCAAGCCTTTTTAACAAAATATCTATAATCTGAAATTCTCTATCAGCCATATCTTCATGACCTGGTCATACATACTCGTAATTCAAGAAAACCACGATTTTTAATAATACATCTGTCAAATACCCTCAAGGCTCAAGATATCAACATATCTTGACCATAAAATTCCCTTCTAAATGCCGTTTTGATATTCAGCAAAATAATTCACTTTCAAGGGACAAATAGTTTCTAATGATGAGTGTACTTGTATGTCAAGAAATGCATGAATATCATGTTATGTAATAAAATCGTTGGATATTTGGAGGGAACGGGACATGTCCCACACATGTCCCACACAAAGTCTCTCATCTCTAAATCGGTATTTTTATAGATATCAGCTAAGCTGTCATGAATCATGGGCGATTCAATCGTGCGATTAAAAAAAAATATTTAAAAAAAATATATATGAGAGAGATAGAGAGAGAGAGAGAGCAAAAGATATACCAGTTTGCCTCTATGGAGAAATTTAAAAAGAGAATGAGAATTTTCAATATGCATATTTAAAATGCATTGCTTTCAAAATTACTCATCAAAATCTTGGATACAGTTCTAAAAATATATCGCTTGTTTTGTTATCCAACAAGTCTGTATAGTAAAATGAGTTGTCGCATTTTGCCAGCATAAACATTATACATGTATATCTGGTTCCGTTCCGCAAAATACGAATATCCGTGTGGATATACCTATTTAGCGGAACGGAACGAAACAGCGAAGTTGAAATCCAATGATGTATATGCAAGTACTCTGTTGTTAGACAATTAATCTAATTCTTTTTAATCATGAAAGGTAGAATTCCGTCTATTTAATTTAGATAATCAATACTAAAGAGACAAGAGAATTTTGTTCCCGGATTTTCCTCCAGATTGTCGGAAAGGAAATTTGCAGTTATCTCTTTTAGAGTGTGTACATGCAGGAAGGGTGAAAATATCTTGATATCTTGAGGGGATCCGCCAGGGTTTCATTAAAAATTGATTTTTTTTAATTATGTACGACGACGTCATGAAATTATGGCTGATAGAGGATTTAAGATTAGAGATTTGTTGTTATAAAGGCATTCAAAGCTTGTAATTCTACCTTTTACCAAGAAATTTTATTCAAGTGTCTTTGAATACAAATCATTTCAAACAAACAAAAACACATCTATGCATACAATGTTGACATTTGGAATACTTCTGCACATTATTAACGATGTCACTTTTATTTATTTGAATGCAAGCGCTTTTTCTCAGATTACCATGTAATATTAATTCATCTAAAAATAATATAATAAGATTTACCGATAAAGAATAACAGACTGAAACTCATTCAATACTCATACATTGATATGATTCCTGGGTAACTTGGTTCCGTTCCGTTTCGCTAAATACTAATATCCACACGGATATTGGTATTTAGCGGAACGAAACGGAACCAAATAATGGCCAATGTTGGCAAAGGGAGATAACTCTCTTTACTTTGGACGTGTTTATAAACAAATAAACGATATTTCTTTAGCACTGTACCCAAGCATTTGGATAAATTCATTTTACATCAATAATTGATACATATCAATCATTTAACACAGTTTACATAGCAACAACAGATGTCACACCAGATGAAAAACCCACACGGCAAAATAATGTATAAGCTAGAATTTTAAGCATTTTATTTTACTGTCCTAAAGGTTGTTGTAACGCTACTTCATTCATCCAATATATTACGCACATAATAACATTTACATAAATACCAAAATATGGTACATAAAAATGTCGAGCAGTTGAGGAAAAGATATTTGCGTTTTTATTTTTAACATCATCTAAATCCATATTTATCACACTTTTTTCACAATCAAACAATATTCAAACCACACATTGACAGAATCTGTAAGTCTGCTGTCGTTTTTTTTTTTTTTTTTTTTTTTTTGATTTTATGTTTTCTCTTCAAAAGGAAACCTATGGTTTCGTTTCGTTCCGCAAAATACCAATACCCGTGTGGGTATTGGTAATTTGCGGAACGGAACGGAACAAGATATGGCTATCGTATATTTTCTTTTCTTTCCTTTTTTCATAAATAATATTACTTTAAAACGGAATGTTTAAGTAATATTAATGATCATCTATTTAAAAAAGTATTTTCTTTATAAATGCAAGTTACTGAAGAAATTCATTTTCATGCAGCTTATGATTTCAAAATAAAATCCTTATGTGGGGGAATTTCAGACCAACAAGCTCGACTCAGTTATTTTCCTGGCTCATTATTCGACGTTGTAACATCCTACAAATATAACAAAAGTGTGCTATAAATAATTGTGTGCGAAATTATTGCTATCACAAATATTATATCACACAATAATTTGTAAATATCCATCAATCGTATTTAAGAAATTATGTAACAAGAGACTTTTCCTAAATTCTTTTACTTTTCTTAATAATCATGTTAACTACAAAAAATATGATTACAGAGATAATAATAATAATAATAATAATAATAAAAAAAGAGAAATACACTCCTATAGCGTACCCTCGACATAACTCTAACTGGCTCTGAGTGACAAGTTGATTACATATAGCCGTCTAGCGATGCTGAATTCTGGCTCTACAAAGGTTAAAGTGAATTTCCTTAGCTCACAAATTTTAAAGGAAATCAAATTTCATCTGCACTCGCTCTAGCGAACACATGGCTACCATGTTATCGGAACAAAAATATTACCTTTTAATAAAATTAAAATAAAACTATAATTTTCTAACTCAGGCATTCTTAAACAAGTTAAACCTTTATATTTTATCAAAGTCATACAAAATATATCAATCATATTTACATGTACATAGTTACATATTTGTTTCAGCGCAAGATGCATTGAAAGCGATTACTTAATTGTATTTATGTACAAGTAAATTGCCAATCCAAATTCAGTTTGATAAAATAACTAATCTGTGGAACTTCTCATCCTTTAACATTTCTGCGTACTGTCATGAACCCAACTCACAGTTATTGTACTATCGCAGAATTTTGAGAAACCGCCTTCACTCTCCATTTTCATAAACAACAAAACACTTAGGTATGTTGCACTTTGCCACTAATGTGACTTTAATTATAGAAATTACTTGTAATTAATTATGTAATAATTGGTCAAGAAATCCATAAAATTATTAATTAACTTTTTATTATCTGTATCAAAAATTCACAACAGAATGAAGTCGAATTATGAATATGATTGATATGTAAACAGTGATTACCTAATATGTGGCGTAATTGATTACATAATATATAAAACCTTCTTGTGGTCTGAAACCGAAAACTACCTAAAACAAATTCAAAAACAAAGAAGATATAGACAGAATTGGACTTCCTTAAAAAAGGAAAAGGTGGCCGGGTGGAGGCGGCTTAAAATAATTTGAAGCTATCCAACACACATGTACTTTTCACGGCGTCCTAAAAGAAACTGAAAAACGACGCTATCTGGACGACCGGGTCCAGATTTTTACCGCGCATGATTTTCATTGGGCATTTACTAAATGTTTTCATTTCCAAGAATCACTTGCATTTGCCTCTCCTAATTTGGACACGCCAAAACTTCCAAGGATAATGCAAGAGAGATAACTCTAATTATACGCAGAGCATTCCAATGTACATAAAATTTTTTAAGTAAAACTTAAAATTCATATTTACTACTTTGATAATCAACACTGAATATAAGAACATTTCTACAAATTTTCTAACAAATGTATACTTTGTTTCACAGATAAAACCTCAATATTTCAAATAGCTAGAGAATAAAAAAAACCCCAATTCTTTCGAGTTTGAATGAAACTTACAAAGTTACATTTTTTAAAAAAAAAATATAGCTATCACGTTTAAAATACATTTAATAAATGACAATACCTAATTAATTTCAAAACAAACTAAAAACAAAAAAGAAAGTAACTTACTAGCAGTTATCAATTCTATTCGTTTGACTGACCAAAGCTTCACTTGTGGCCACGCCGTGGGGAAAAATGTGCGTGCGTGAGAAAACATGAGATGGGCGTTCACATCACCTGATAATAAGAGGGAATAGTCCTTTGCCAATTATCTTTTCTTTGTATTGCATTTATAAATATCGTTCTTAAAACAAAGAAGAGTTCCAACGGACAAACAAACGTAGTTTCGCTTGAGAGAACATACTATCGATTGAAATGTCACGGTGTTTAACTACCTGTCGTTTACCTGAGTTGCAAGATTATTTGCGAGCAAGGGGCGTGACGGTGTCGGGCTATAACAAACGCACCTTGAGGGATATCGCAATCGCTGTTAAACAGCTGGATTTATCTGTTGGCCCAGATTTTTGTAGGGATTCTCTTTATAATGACATATAATCAAAACTGAAAAAAGCCGGCCTTCCAGATGAAGGTCCTTTAAAGATACACTGTAGATGGGTATACGTCAGATTTTGCGCACATTCCAGATTGGAATTGTCCAAAAACTTTTTGGACAACCCTCGTATATATTTATATTTGTACAGTAACAGAACTTGCTCAACTTATTAATAAGTAAAAAAAAGTACTTCCAATTAAATCATTTTTTTGCAATCTGTTTTCCCCCAACATAATATACAATGTTGTACATTTCAGATATCTGCAAATGCAAATGCTCTCGATATTTTGATTAACCTTGAGGATTTTCCAACCAAAAGTCATCCTGATCAAAAATTGAGAGACCTCGGTCAACTATTTATTTCTTACAAGGCAAAGAAATTCATGGAAATGCATGCTGGAAACATGGACCTTGAAGATTTTTATAATTCCATTAACCATTCCCAAGAAGATAAATTTAACATTAATGAATATACCCAAGGACAAGCTACAAATGAAGCATGGTATGAGATGAGGGTTGGTCTTTTAACAGCTTCAAACTTTAAAAAAGCCATCAAGTATATTGATGACAAAAAAGAACCATCAAAATCATTTATGAGAAGCTCGATGTGTGAAAATCGAATTGAAGATCTCGTTTTACCCGCGCCATTAAAATGCGGAAGGGAAAAGGAAAATGTGGCCCATGACATTCATTTCAGGTTACTGCGTGGCCAACACAGACGCCTGAGAGTAAAAGAAAATGGGCTTTTTATAAATGAAGAGTTCTAGTACTTGGATGCAGTGTTGATTGCATATGCACATGTTAATGCATTCCTCCTCACCCATCAAAAATAGTTGAAATAAAATGCCCTTTTTCTATGAAGAATGAAAAGCCAAAGGATGTGGCAGTCCAATCAAAATGTATTTAAGACAAAAGCTCTGGGATTTGGATTGTAGCTCCAGATTCAGCATAATATGATCAAATACAGGGACAGTTAGGTATTTATGATAATGAAAATGCTGATCTGGTAATATATACACAGAAAGGAATTCTTGTCTCTCATGTTCATTTTGATAAAAAATAAATAAATAAATCTCTAGTATGGCACAGAAACTAGTATTGTTTCACAAGAGGTATGTTCTCCCTGTGCTCATCTTAATACATAAATTTTTCAGTCTTTCATTTATTATATTGTCAGATACATGGTAATTGAGCAAATGATGATATATTTTAATATGTTAGATTGAATTGGTGATAGACTTAACAGTTAAACTGTGCTTGCATTAATGCATTTCATTTGCAATTATACATGAATGTATGAAATAATGAAATATGAATATTACTTAAGAGTTGATCAATAAAATTGTACATATTTCATAAAGTTAATGATCATAATTTCAAATCATGTTGATTTTATAATTAGTAAACATGCTTCAGATTGAATTTACAATTTATTTGACTAACTTTGAACCTAAATTGCAAATACAAGCACAAACACCCAAAACTTGATCAAATAAAGAATGTAGTCAAAGGCATAGTTCCTTGTAAAATTTTAAATGTTTTAACCTTCCAATGGCACGCTCCACATGAATCCGTGCACTTGCAATCCGTCTTGTCTTTGTCACTGCTCTACTGCTCAAATGTCTACCCATGGAGTAAGGCGGTATATTCAGAGTACATGATCTTCTGGCTTAGAGATCTCGTATTAAAAATCCGCGGTCAGCCTTAATATCATCCCCATATTCTAAATATTATATAAATAACCACTTCCCTCAACAATACGTCGGTCTGAAATACTACCAGTGAAAAGTTTTGAAATGAAAGTAAATGGAGATAAGTGCCTTGAGGGTATTGTGGTTTTAATAATTTGAACAGGTTACTCACTGAGAGGATGGTAAACTTGGTTTCTAAGTAAAAATATCTGTACAGTCTATAATTGATCTGGTCTTTGGAAAATATTTGAATGCTTTTAGTAAGTTAGCTGTTATCTGCTCTTTATTTGGCCATGAAATTAAAAAAAAAATAAACTCCAGATACAAAAAATATATCATGTTATGAAAATCCGACTGATACTCGATGGATAATTACCAACTAAATCACCCAACACTTCTACATCTAACCCACGTTTAAGACGAACCAAAGTGATCACAAATTCTTTTTTCAGTGAAAGTTTCCGCTTTGGACCAGCTTTTTGAGCCTACAAAATTGGATTAAATACATGTAGAATAAGAAATACCAAGTACTTATATTTTTATATAAATTGAAATACATTTATAGTTACTTATAACATATATGGAAAAGCATGATTAAATCATTTTTTAAGGGGGGGGGGGGACTCATTCCTTTGAAATATGCTGTATCCTGTCCCCTCCAGTGGTTCAGCTTTTCTGCTTTCAGTCTAATCCATTGAAATAAGAGTAGGAAGATGAACAGATTTAAGATTTCCCCTTTATCGCTTATGTGCTAGAACAAAAAGCCCCCTATGCACTAGGTAATATGCAATTAAGCTATTACCGGTAATGATTTAGAAAATTCATTAAACTTTTTCTTTATGATGAAAGCTTCAATTTTGACTTTCTCATAAAATTAGACAAACGAACACAACATATGTACAAAAGCATCAAATCTATAAAATTTTTGTAAAAATAATCGGCATTTTCCGTAGGTCAACATTATACAGATGTGACACATTTCTAAAATTTGAATTGGAAAAATCTCCCTTTTATACTTACGTACAGTACACAAATGTTATCTCTCGCCGTTTATCAACCCTTGTGGCTCCGTTCCGTCTCGAAAAATACCAATATTGTTACAGTAGTAGATATTGGTATTTTACGGAACGGAACGGAACCAATCGTGAATTTCTTTATGTTTACTATTCTTATTTTAAAAATATCAAGAGTCCGAATCTGAACCATAAATATATCCATAAACGTTGAATTAGTTAACACTTAATATGTAGGCATATAACACATTACACTTTATAACACTTTAACTATACGTCTTTAACTAATTAACAATTTTCAATTGCCAATGAGTACATGACTAATTAGTGATAATTTACTCATTGGCAATTGAAAATTGCTAATTAGTGAAAGACACGTTGTACACTTACACAAAACTGTTGAAGCTAGTTTATAAATTTTTTAAATTGATTGAAAAATCGTAATTAAGTTTTATTATCAGCATCAAGGTCCGAAATATATAATCGTGTAAAAACAAATCATAAAATGATGTGCGTACATGTGCGTTTTGACACTTTCTGAAAAATCAAACATGTAATTCATTTGATGCGTAAGAGTAATAATTTTCCTCTTCGAACATGGATTCAGATCTCCCTTCTCCCTTTCATATTACTTTTCGGAACTTAACATACGGGGTTACATTTTTAGCTCACCTGACCCGAAGACTCAAGTGTGCTTTTCTGATCAGAATTTGTCCGTTGTCTGTCTTCGTTGTCATTAACTTTTCACAATTTCATCTTCTTCTCCAGAACCACTGGGCCAATTTCAACCAAACTTGGCACAGAGTATCCTTGTGTAAAGAGAATTTAAGTTGGTTCAAATGAAGGGCCATGCCCTCTTCCAAGGGGAGATAATTACAAAATAGTGAAAAATTAATGGCATATTCTAAAAATCTTCTTCTCAAGAACCTTTGGGCCAGGAAAGATGAAACTGATGTGAAAGCATTCTCAGGTAGTGTAGAATCAAGTTTGTTCAAATCATGACCCCCGGGGATAGGGTGGGCCACAATGGACGATCAAAGATTTACATAGGAGTATGTAGGAAAAATCTTCCAAATTCTTCTTCTCAAGAACATCAAAGCCATGATTGGTCATATTTATATCGAAGCATTCTCAGGTAGTGTAGATTCAAGTTTGTTCAAATCATGACCCCCGGGGGTAGGGTGGGGCCACAATGGACGATCAAATTTTTACATAGGTATATGTAGGAAAAATCTTTAAAAAAATTCTTCTCAAGAACACCAAGGCCATGTTTGCTCATATTTATATGGAAGGATCCTCAGGTAGTGTAGATTCAATTTTTTTTTTCAAATCATGACGACCCCCGGGGGATGGATGGGGCCACAATGGGCGATCAAAGATTTACATAGAAATATTAAGGAAATATCTTTAAATCTTTTTCTGAAGAACAGCAAAGCTATGTTTGGTCATATTCATATGGAAGCAACCTCAGGAAGTGTAGATTCAAATTTGTTCAAATCATGACCCCCGGGGGTATGGTGGGGCCACAATGGACGATCAAAGTTTTACATAGGAGTATAAAGGGAAAATCTTCAAAAATCTTCCTCTCAGGAACAGCAAAGCTATGATAAGTCATATTTACAAGGAAGCATCCTCAGGTGGTGTAGATTTAAGTTTGTTCAATTCATGACCCCCGGGGATAGGGTGGGGCCACAATGGACGATCAAAGTTTTACATAGGAGTATATAGGAAAAATCTTTAAAAATCTTCTTCTCAAGAACAAAGCCATGATTGCTCTTATGTATATGGAAGCATCCTCAGGTAGTGTAGATTCAAGTTTGTTCAAATCATGACCACCCCTTCGGGTAGGGTGGGGCCACGATGAAAGTTCAAACTTGAAGGAAAAAAAGTCACAGTTAGTCAAAGAAATATGTAAGTATCCTTAGTTAATGTACATTCAATTTTGTTCAAATCATGAAGCCACCCCCC